CACCATCAAGAATCCCTCCATGCAAGCAGAGGCTGAGAAGACTCTCAGGACTGAAGCCCGATAAGCCCACTCCACCCTGGCCCACGAGAGTGGGCTCTACTCTCTGCCTCATGGCTCCAGGCTGTTCAGCAGAAGCCTAGCAGGCACGTGTGCACACACACGCACTAGCACACGTGTGCAGGCCTGTCCCCGCACATACCCAGTCTCTCTTCTACTGTCAGCCACTGATGGCCTCAGGAAGCTCCTCCTCCCTGGTGGGTTTGCCAAGGGCGAGGCTGGGAGGAGGCTGGAGAGAGATGGGGAAGGGGCCCTGGAGATGGCCTACAGCCAGGCCCGCCCAGACGGACCCCAGGGAAACACACTCAAGACAAAGAGGTGGCTGGTCGCTGATTTATTCAGGAGGGGAAAGCCCAAGCAGACCGGCTCCCTCCCTCCCTCCCTCCCTCTGTCCCTCCCTCTCCCATCCCTTCAAGCTCTCCCACCCTGTCCTTAGCCCCCACTCCTGGGGAGTGAAGTCAGAGAGGGTCTGGGGTCAAGAGACGGGGTACAACCACTTGCTGCTCCAGGTTTTGTCCTATCTCCAGGCCCTGGGCCCTTGAGATAGTCAGAGGAAGGAGGAAGCCTGTGTGATGGAGGCAGTGTGGGGGGCACCCCTGTAACTACACAGCACCCCGCAACCCACCCAGCCACCTGGCCACCAGCTTGCTCACTCGCCATTATGAAAAAGAATACAAAATTAGCCGATAAATGAAATTCTATAGGAAAATGGTATTTCCCTAAAGGGTGACTGGGCTGGTAGCTATTTCCGTGGGTACATAAACACACTGAGGGAGCTGCCCACCCTGGCGGGAGGAAGACGAACAAGTTTGCTAAGACCATCCTGCTGGCCAGGAGGGCGCAAAGTGGATGTGGCGCCCCCAGACATTGCATCCCTCGGGCCTGGCCCAGGGCTGTGGGGCCAGGTCTCTCCTGGCAGGGTCAGTGGGGTTGCCTAGCCACAGGGTCTGTGTGGATGGTTGATGTGCAGCTGTTTGGGCTTGGCACCTAGTGACCACATATCATGGGCGGGGGAGGCCTTGGGGCGCAATGCTGGACAGGCCTGGAGACAGCAGGGTGTGGACAGGACGGGCAGGCTGAGGTCATGGGGCCACCCACTGCTAGTGCCAACCACCCAGCTCAAGAGGAGGATCCTGGGTTTGTGGAGAGAAGCCCCCTTATCTCCCACCCCAGCCATGGCCTGGTCTGTAGGCATCAGAGCACACAAAGCAAGAAGGGGGCTTGGATCAGCAGGGGAGGCCAGGCTGTCTGGAGAAGGCCGGCCGGCCAGCTGAGAACTGGGGAGGCAGGCGTGGGTCACCCACACAGGAACAGTAGGGGCTGGGGAGGTGCTGGCAGTGGGAGCAGCCGACGGCAGGGCTGTTGGTGCCTTGTTCCCTCCCGGCTGCAACTCACGGGGCCTCGTTGGACCCGATCCCGGAGCCTTTGTTGACGTAGAACGGCCGATAGTGAGACTGGGGGAGACAAGAGTGGTCAGGCCAAGCAGATGACAGCCAGCCCACCAGCCAGCCCCGCCCCTGCCCAGGTTGCAGCAGTGGTCTGAACCCCAACAGCCCCTGGGGTCGTGCAGCCCAACCTGAAAGTCCAGCTACCCTGTGATCAAGAATTAGTCCCCAGTCATTATCAGCATTCTCAGCTCAGCTCCAAACTAGAGCTCATCTGGTTACCAGGTTGATAAGTTTAAAGCCTTACTCCTCCATTAGACT